AAGAGAGAGAGAGAGAGAGAGAGAGAGAGAGAGAGAGAGAGAGAAAATAAACAAAGAAAAAGAAAAGAAAGAAAGAAAGAAAAACCGGGAAAGATGTAAATAGGGTTAGTTCACAGTCAGCAATCCAGCACTAAACGTGTGTACCACAATTATTCATTCATTTATTTATTTATTATTAAAGTCGCACATCACGTTATTTGATGGTACATAGTTAGGCATGAGCTTTGGTGTCAGCAAGACTATTCAAGCACTAGAATTACTCGCAGTGTGTAGCAATTTGGTCTTTTGAAGTTCCATGCATCTATTCTTCTTCTTCTTCTTCTTAGCATTATTATTATATTTTGATAGAAAATTACGATGAGGTTTCTGGAGATTCTGATGTTGCTTGGTGGGGTGGGCCAACTGGCAAGTGCGCTGTCACTCATCCCGGTCCCGGATTGGATAGGCCTTCTTACTACCGAGACCCCTCCCCTTGAATCACCTGACGGCCAGGTGTTGAGTGTGACTCTTCCTGGTGGCGGATCCGTGAAGACGGGGTTTTCTACCAGGAAAGATGTGTCTCCAGATGGTAAAAGATACCCAAGTTCAAAGTGAGTACAGTAAACTCACCACCTCTTTTGACTGTTTATGGGAACCTGTCATTCAGTGTAAAATTATTCCCGTGGGTTCCGTTTTCTTAAAAAAAAAAAATAGAAAAACTAATGGACATACGAATAATAGGAATATTAGATAAGTTGATTAGATACAGAAGATATATATTTTAAAAGTGTCCAACGATTGTAGGGAATAAACAAAGAAGGAAGCTGTTTGAATTAGTCTTCTTGTCTTATTGAACAATAATACATGTATGCTTTTTGATTTTCCATTAGATTATTGTCAACAACAAGAATATCTTTGATGATATGAAAATCAAGATTGTTTATTTTGTTTTGTTTAAATTTCATTTGAACAATTTATGAATTTATTTTTCGCAGTATTGATACATCAATTTATTAAGTTCTATAGATTATTATCAACCTAGCAACCGATGTCTCTACATGCACCATTCATTCTATTTCGTTAATCACTTAGATTGCTGTTTAGTTGGTATTACATTTAAATAGTGAATATGGTATTATTTATTCTATTTTCTAGCCAAAATCAGCAATTCCTTTATTTAACTTCACTTTAAATGCATCTTGTGTCATTCATTTTCTTTTTCTAATTTTGTTCTTTCAAATTTGCATCTTAATTAACTAATCAACTTTTCTGTATTTCTGGTAACATTAACAGGCAGTTGAACAGCGCACAACAACAGCAGTCTCTTGCCAGAGAACCTATTAACAGCAACACTCACCCTGACAACCCTGAGATCCTCCCAGTGAGCCTCTCAGAAACCGGAAATAGGACCAAACGCCAGCTCTATGGGTTAGTCGAATTAATCACTGCATTGACATATGTTGGTCATTCAAATAATAAACGGTTTTAAGTATTATTTAGCTACCTTTTATCCATGTGCTGTAAAACTTTTCATTTCTGTTAAGGCTAACTTGTAATTTAAAAAGTTACCTTTAAACTGTTTTCAAATATATTAAAAAGGAAAATGATTGGCATTTTTATTGAAAAAAAAAGTTAATTGAATAAGTTCATATCTTACCTTAGGGTTCCTAAAATGTGTTTCACGTTTTTCGCATTTTATCCCTTGAATGGTACCATAATTTGGGTAGACACCTAGAAGGGTTCATCATTATCGCGTCATTAGCCCAGGAGTCTAAAACTAGAATTCTGAACCAAATAGCAGTAATAATATACTTGTACAATGCAACGATATATGAACATACAAGCCCCCCCTCCCCCCCCCCCCC